GGGGTGCCAGAGGTCCGAGGGTGACGAACGTGGCCAGGTAAGGCTCAAAGGCCGAGCAGGAGTCCTTGGGAAAATGGGATTGGAGTGTGAGGAATATCTTGTGGATCAGGGGCTGGAGGTTGGCTTTCACTGAACAAAGGCGGGGTCAACGGTCCCGGCCTGTTCTCTTCCCAGCCCAAAAGCTTTTAATTTTGATGAAATGCAACTACTTTTTCTTTTGTTGCTCATGCTTTTGGTGTCATATCTCAGAATCCATTGCCAAGTCCAAGGTCATCCTTGCCAAGTCCATCACCCATTTGATAACACGGTCTCCTTCCCTGAGTCCCTCACTCACAAGTCTATCTATCTATCTGTCTATCTATCTACTTACCTACTTATCAGAGGAAGTCTGGCCATTCTTGCTTCCAAGGAGCTATCATCATCACCATCAACACCCAGATCACAATAAACGTTAAAAGAAACCCTTATGTTTCTTCTAAGAGTTTTACCTCTAGCATTGAAGCCTATGCTCCATTTGGAGCTAATTTTTGTATACGGTGTGAAGTAGGGATCAAAATCATTCTTTCCCATGTAGATACCCGGTGGTCCCAGCACCATTTGGTGAAGTTACGCTTAGTTTTCCATGGAACAGCTTTGGCACCGTCATTGAAAACTAATTGCCCGTAAATGTGAGGGTTTATTTCTGGACTCTCGATTCTATTTCATTCATCGATAGGTGTGTTTTGATCATTGTACCTTTGTAGTAAGAAAGGAAACAGACAAGAATTCCTATCTCCCTGGACCTTTTATTTGCTTGTAGGCCAGGAATGCTGAGTTCTTTGTAGAGGAGAATCTATGCTTGCCGGAAGAACCTGGGATCTCAAAATGGGATAGAGGCAGTACACGTTTGGGTCTCGGCAGCAACCAAAATGGATTATTCTGTGGCCACCAGAGTGGTCTGTGGGGCCCTTGACATTGGGACATCCGCTCAGTTGGAAGGCGGGTATTGGGTGATCTGTATAAACTAGGGGTGCAGGCCCGGCTCCGTTAAGAGGTCTGGGGTGTGGGTCCAGTTTTCTCTCAGGGGAAGCCCCGCTCTGGCCTCCGCCCTCCGGCGGTCTCTGTTCAGCTGCTTCTTGCTTCTGCTGCGTAGACGTGCGCTGTGCCCGTTGGAGTTTTGCTCTGCAGTTCTTGAACCAAACCTGAGGCAAAAAGAGGGAAGAGAAATGGGCTGACAAAAGGGGTGAGACTCCAGACACGTCTTCACTTTATCTTTGTCAGTGGCTGTCAAGTCAACTGTGACTCGCGGCAACCCCATGTTATAGCACAGACCTGCCCCATAGGGTGTTCTCAGCTGCCATCTTTACGGAAACACATTCCATGTCTTTCTCCCTCAGAGTAGCTGGGTGGGTTTGAACCACAGATGTTCTGGTTTGCAGTTGAGCACGTAACTCTCCGTGCCACCAGGGCTCCTTCGTTTTATCCAGTAACCCCACTGCTGTGGACTCAACCCCGACTCACAGTGGTCCTAGAGGACAGAGTAGAACTGCCCCATGGGTTTCCAAGGCTGTCAGGTTTTATGAAAGCAGACGGCTTCATCTTTACCCCACAGAGAAACTTGTGGGATCCAACCACCATCCTTTGGGTTCGAAGCCGAACGCTTTAACCACTGCACCACCAGAGGTGGCGCAAACAGTTAACCCTAAAGGTGCTGGTGGTTTGACTCCACCCAGAGCCACATGGAAAGTAAGGCCGGAAGATATGCTTCTAAAAGGGGACAGACTTAAAATCATGGAGCCCAGTTGGACCTGTGGGCTGGGACCACAGTCGCAGGGGACAGCAAGCTCAATTGGCATAACATACTTCACAAAAACATGGTTCCACATCCTACTGTGGTGAGAAGCCACTGGGATCTTGCAAGCGGCCATCTAGATGCAATGATGGGTCTCTCCTCGTCCAGAGCAAAGAGGAATGACAAAACCAAAGACACATGGAAACAACTAGTCCAAGTGACTGGTACACCATGCGATCCTCAGCCTATACGACTGTGAGACCAGAAGAACTAGATGGTGCCCGGCTACCACTGTCAGCCACTCAGAAGGGGCTCGGTGCAGGAGACCCTGGATCGAGTGGGAGAACAATGTGGAACAAAACTCAAAATCATAAAAAAAAGAGACCATGTTTGCTGGTCTGATAGAGCCTGGTGAAACCCCTGAGACTATGGCCCCTAATTACCCTTCAGGTCTGGAACTGAACTCACTCCTATGGCTTCCAACCAAACGGTAGACAGGTATATGGGGTGCACATTTACATCAGGTAGATACACTCCTTGGAGAAATCAATCATGGGAGAATAGAAGAGCTGTGTGTGCACAGGGAGACATTTCGGGGGTGGGAGGGCATGGAGGGAAGGACACAGGGAAGAGGTGACTATGGGCAGGAAGTGGGAGGGGAGCTGTTCCATTGTGGGGAATTGCAGTCAATGTCATGAGACCAAATTGCAATAAAAATCACAATAAAAATTAAAAAAAAAAAAGAAAGTAAACTGAGGTCCTGAAAAATAAAAGCAACCACAGAGCCCAGTTCTACTGGGCACACATGCTGTCATAATGAGTTCGAATCCACCCCACAGCAAATAAGAAGATGAAATAGACAAGAAAGGAGCCCCGCCCCGCCGCCCCAGAGCCACACCCTGAATGCAGCCTGCTGGTCTCCTGCTGGGTGAGAAGGTAAGTCTCTGTCTGAAATGCACATGCCTGAGGTGTTTGTTCCAGCACGCTGGGTAACTAAGGCAATCTGTGAGCTGGGACGGTTTTTACATTTTTAAATGCTTGAGAGCGGGCACCTAAATGAGGAGAATATTCTCGGCAACAAAATCCTATGACGTTCACATTTCAGTGTCCACAGAGTTTTCCTGGGACAGACACGTGCGTTAGTTTAAACATGGTCAAGTTGCAGGCACACCTTGTTGGGTGGCCCCTCACCTCAGGGCACTTTGCAGCTGTCATTGTTTACAGACTGACGGTTTGTGGCACCCCTCGTGACGCTAGTTTATAGGCATCATTTTTTCCAGCAGTATGTGCCCACCATGTGTCTCTGTGTCACATTCTGGCCATTGTCACGATAGTCCACACTTCTTCATAATGCTGTTGCACGCTTAATAATAGACCAGTGTTCTGGTTCCCTAGTGCCGCCCTGACAAGAATATGCCTCAAATGGGATGGCCTTAACAACAGGAGTTTATTCTCTTACAGTTCAAGAGGCTAGAAGTCCAAGTTCAAAGTGCCAGGCTCTAGGGGCTGAGTGAAAGCCCCTCAACCTTGGGGTCCAGCTCTGCCTCCTGCTCCCGGCCACTGAAGCTACAGGCATCTCTTCACTCAGGCAGCTACTGGCCGCTGAGGCTAACAAGCCCAAGGTTGACAAATAAAATGGCACAGTCCCGATGTTACCAAACCACACGGCAGGCCATTAACTCAAGTCCATTGAAAGTCCCAAGGTGGGCAGAGCATGGCAGGCTGCTGAACAACTTGGCTACATGCAGGGTCCAAGTGTACCATAAGCTAGAGACCGTTCCCAAAGCTGTTTCTTATACACGGGAAGTAGACCACATACCCAAAGCAGCTACTCAGCTGCTCCAATAGATTCCACCGTGGAGATGATTCCCAATCTCACTGTGGGGAACAACTCCATTCAGCCGCCCAGCCACTCAACCAGGCCCAGCCAAGTTGACCCACAAACTTAACTAGCACAACCAGTATATTCAGCGAAGTGACAGACAGGCCTGCAAGGTGAACAGTCACACCAGAGACGGACACACCCCTTAGAACAACCAACCTCAGGAGATCCAAGGGCAGCGTGTGTCCAGGGAGAAAACCCAGAAGGCAGGAGGGAACAGCAAAGGACACAGGGACGCAGGAGACGGTGGAGGAAGTGGGAAGAGAGGATTGTGATCATTGTGGGGATTGCAGTCAATGTCACAAAAGAAAACATGGATGAAAGTTGAGTAGGAAATCTCTGCTCTGTGAACTTTCACCCAGATCACAAGAAATGTTAAAAGAAAAGCTGCTTTGATGTGTGGATCTGCGGGGAGAACTTGGGCCTTGGGTCCTCAGAGCTGAGAAGACAACAACAGGCTGTAGTGTTGTGTAAACACAGGGTAAACGTGACTGTGACTTTTGTATGTGTTGGGGACCAGCCTCACCCCCTCTGCCGCGCCCGCCCCTTCCAACCACAGTCTGGAACTGAACCCCCAATATCTCCGAGCTAAGCCTGTGCAACTGTTAAGGTGAACCGTGGGGGCAGAGGCGACGTGGCCTACAAAACCTAAGATATTTCCTCCTTTCCAGGAGGAGGCGTGTGCTGGGGGTTCAGAGGACCGTGGGGCAGGGGCGGGAGAGGCAGGGTCTTTGGCGTCTTGGGGACTGGAGTGGTGTCAAGCCTCAGGGGGACCCCGGTTAATGTCGGAGTCTAGAAGCGTCCCGAGAGGCGGCTTGGCGAGTTGGGGCGTCAGTTGGCTGACCTGCACCGCCGCGGGCTCTGTGCCTATCCTCAGGGCCGTCTCTCTCCGAAGAGTGGGGCTCGGATACCGGTTCTTCTGGAACAGGAGCTGCAGCTCTTCCCGCTGCTGGGCAGTGAACATCGTCCGCTTCCTTCCGGGGTGCCTCGGGGGCTTGCCTGGGGTGGGGAGAGGAGGCACAAACGGGGTGCTGAACCAGCTCCCCTGAGCTGCCCTCTGCAAGGTCAAGCTTGGCAGTAAAGACGCTGGGGCCTTCTTGACACACTGTGTGCTCCCGTTCCTCTGGTTGCCACCAGGGTTGACACACTGTGTGCACCCGTTCCTCTGGTCTCCTGAGCCTCAGGGCACCATGGTTGCCACCAGCGTGTCTGTGAGTTGGAGCAGCCTTGGTGGCACATGTCCGCCACAGGAAAGAGTTGTGTGTGTGCAGAAAATAAACAACTCATCAAACTCATAAAGCAGACCCGAAGGCTGGTCTGATAGAGAGTGGTGGGACCCCTGAATTATGGCCCTTAGACACCCTTCAGACTTAGAACTGAACCCAGCCAAACAACAGGCCGACCCGCGAGCGAACGGTAACGCGCATGAGGGCCGTGGTCCTCAGAGCAGCCCAGGACCCAAAGGGCAGCATTTGCCCACAGGCAAAATTCCAAAGGCAGGAAGGGGCGGGACCCACGAAGGAGTGGACACGGGGAACC